GGCGCCCCCGCCCCCATGCCCAGGCGGCCGCGGGGCCCGGCCTCGGCGTAGGCTGCGGGAGCCGCGGGGAGGGGACCCGGGGGGCTGCCCCCCCGGCCCAGCCTGGCCCCTGGCGGGGGGACACGGGGGTCCCCGAGGCGGGTTGGGGTCCCGGGCAGCTCCCTGCCCCGTCCCCACACTGACGTCCGTCTCTGAGCCCCGCAGAGCACGGACTGAGTCCGTCTGTCCCGGCCGGTGGGACGAGGAGAGGGAGCGGGGAGGATGTTCAGGCCAGGAAAACAACGAAGACGATGAAGAAGACGATGAGGATGAGGAAGATCTTGACCATCAGCCAACGGTTGGAGGTGACCGACTGGAAGTATTTGAGGATCTCCCCGTGAGCCGCTTCCACGTTCAGCTGCGCGTCCTCCACGCTGGCGTCGATCCTGCGAGCCGGGATGGGACGGGACAGTGAGGGGACGGACGGACGGAGCGAGGGGACGGACAGACAGACCGATACCTCTGGATCGTCTCCTCCTGCTCCTTCACCATGTGCGCCAGCTGCTGGAAAATGGAACCCAGTTCCACGATGGTGGATTCGATGTTCTGCATCGTGTCCGCCCGGCTCTGGATGTAGGAATCCTGCGGGAGAGCGGGAGCCATCGGTCCCTGCGTCCCCCCCACGGCTGGGTCGCTTCGGGTGGGAGGGGGTTGCGTGTCTGTCCGTCCGTCTGTCCGTCCCCCAGGCTCACATCCCCACCTGCTCATCGATCAGCTGTAGCTGTTGGCTCGTCCGTGCGTCCATCTCGATGGCCACCGCCCCGGAACGCTGCGGCTCGTCCTGCAGCACCGCCGAGCTGCCTGCGGGGAGAGCGGGGGCCCTGAGCGAATGGGGAGGGGGGGGACACACACAAAGACCCCCCCATTTTTCCCCCCAAAAAATCCCGGCACTCACCCAGGTTGCCGGCAGCGAGGGGCAAAGCGGAGACGGGGGCGCGGGAGAAATGCTCGCGGCGGCTTCGCTGCTGCTTCAGGTTCTGGGGGGGGGCACACGCAAAAATGGGGGGGTCAGTGCAGGCAGGGAGGGGAGAGAGGGGGGTAAAAGGGGGGCGAGGACTCACTTCTGTCCGTACTT